TAATTTACACAATGCCTGTGGCGTGTGATTTATTCCTAAAGCTCTCAGCTGCAGGAGCACTTAATACAATTTGTTCTCTGCTGTGGAAGGGGTCTATGTTACTTTACAACCTCAATGTGCCACTTGTCTCACATACCATATACATTTCCCACGGGAAACCTGTGGTGGGTAAAAAAAGAAAAAAAACACACCCTTGGAACAGCTGAAGGATCTTTAGGACTACATACACACATATCACGACCCCTCCCTCTTTACTCACACACACACATTCTGTAGACACTAATCTACTCAGCTGTGGCCCCCATCATAAACCCCTTTGGGTGACACGAGACAAAAAGAAGGGGGATCACCAGAGCTCTGAGACAAACACCCGGGCACAGGACAACACAAACAGGGCTGTCCGATTAATCGCCGTGGCTAAGCCGATAAAAGCCAAGGGGCAAGAGTGGCTCAAAAATGCATTAAAGCCGGAGCCTTTTGTTTACCAAAAACAGACAGACAGTCATTGAAAACCCCCAGGCGGTCTGGGGTACTGTGGCTTAACCACAGCGCTGGGCGAAAGGATAGCGTACGCCACGGGGTGTGTACCGGTCATACCTGTAGTGAGCTTATTTGGGGACACCTGTGAACGAACACACACACACACACACACACACACACACACACACACACACACACACACACACACACACACACACACACACACACACACACACACACACACACACACACACACACACACACACACACACACACACACACACACACACACACACACACACTATTATTATTATTGGAAATAATAATATCATTTGTTTAATTTGAGGATTTGCTGCTTCGCTCTGTCATCAAGGTGAAGTTCAAATATTTAGCATGGACAAAAAAAATACTTGTCACTCCATAAATGTAATTGCCATTTTCATTACCTTTGCACATTTTATATATTAAATAATGAATGGAAGATGCATCAGACAGACTTATTAATAATGAAAATGTAAGAAAGAATTGCAGTATAAGTCTGCATTTTTGAGGATTCTGATTGCGGAGCGGAGGCAAGTTTCTTTATTAATATTTAATCTTAGGTAGCATTATTGGAGGAATCCATACTGAAGAGATAAAGAAAGCAAATTATTTTCCTTGACCCACAGATTATTTTGACGTTAATCTGTGTGTAAACAGGTCAAGTAACAATGACAAGTCCTGTGATAAACAAACACCCCTAATGCCGTCCCAGCAGGGGCAATAAGCCGAAGTCTTTCACATTAATCATATCAGGGGACTTTTAATATTGCATATCATAGCCTCCTATCCATCCCCACCCGCATCAATCATCGGACCTGGGGGGACAGAGCCTTCTCCGTCGCTGCCCCCTCCCTCTGGAACTCACTCCCACAACCCATCAGAGACTGCACTGACCTCACCACCTTCAAAAAACGTACAGAAACTCACCTCTTCAATCTGGCTTTTAATGTGTGATTGTTTTTGTATTGCTTGATTTTAATTTGACTTTAACTATATTTATTTGTTGTTCTTTTCTTTTCACTATATCTGTAAAGCGTCTTTGAGCACCTGTAAAAGCGCTAACAAAATTAATATATTATTATTATTATTATAAAATATTAGAAAGCCGTAAGTACATCAGATTCCCCAAAACTATTTCCGAAATATTTGGGATGCTGGGTGAAAATAGTCTGTTAATATTGTTGTATTAATATGAAATGTCTTCTGATTACAATGATTGTCAATATCACAAAGACACATATTGACAAATGTTGGGTTTAGATTGAGACCCATAATCAATACGAGGGCCGAAATATGCTTAATATTTGAGAAAAGTGGACTTTTTTTCTAAACTTAGAAAGAAAATGAAATGACAGCATTCATTAATGTTCATCATACACTATCAAAATCTGTTTTTTTAATATTTAAATCACCTTTAACGACAGGCCATACTGACCACTTACTTTACATTAGGATATTATTTCTGCCAGTCTGTTCAGGCTTAGATCCTGATGACACTAATCCTGTTTTCAGTCTCCATCTCGTCACATATATGCACACACACTCACACCAGGGTGTCACTGGCAACGGGCCGAGCCTTTGTGTCTGAGAAAAACAGACTAATTAACCTGCTTCACAGTGCCTGCCGTACACTAGGCAGTGTGCATCTCCACCACACGCTGAAAACCTGAGCATCCTAATTCAACCGCACAGAACAACTCTCTTCCCCATACATGCAGAGGAAGAGGAGAAGAGAGTCTTCCTGGCAGACACCGATGTACACAAAGACGTGTGGTAAATAAACAAGCAGATAATGAATGAAGGAGGAGGCTTGATGACTCAGAGGGGATTTGGGTTACTGACTAGCCGTCGATCCTGTTTCGATCTCAGACACAGATGAAGGTGATTAATGAAAAGAGAAGGCTGTGGCTTATCAGAGTTCACGCTTCGCCCGTGAGGTGCCGTTAGTAAAGCAAGACTGGGATACGTTTCCCAACAATCTTGACCCCGAGATCACGTTACACCCACTGATTCCCGAGATTAACTTGAGACATGTACCCTTCCAGACGGAGGGGTTCAGTAATTGACCTGCCGTCTAATCTGTGCCACACAAACAGAAAGATGACGATGAGACCAGACTGTCTTAATGACTTTAGACTTAAAAAGAAGATTCTGGTGAAACATGCCAAGCAACCAGCCATGTGAGGAAAAGTAGAGGAGATCAATTAGGTCAGAAATTGGGTTCACTACCACATTAAGGTGGTTTAAAAATAATAATAAAGTTTCATTACATTACATGTTACTTGTTAGACGCTTTTATCCAAAGCAACTTACATACTCAATACTGTGGACAATCCCCACAGGAGCAATTTGGGGTGAAGTGTCTTGCCCAGGGACACAACGACATGCTGACTGCAGTGGGGTTTGAACCTGTGACCCCCTGATCCCAACTCAAACGCACAACCCACTGCACAACACGCCTCATATTTGGAAACATAAATGAGAAGGATTAAACTCCCTATAAAGGATACTTGATATAATTCATAAAACAGACACTTTGTTTATAACCTTGGCCACTGGATCATAACACAAATGATACAATTGAGCTGAAAAAGGGCGTCTTGCCCGAATGTCCATGAGGCAAAAAAACTAATTGGAGTTCTGTCCTAGACTTTCCTTTTCGTAATTAACTGGAGCTGAAATGCACGTGCACAGCGCATGTGAATAATAACAATCAGAGAGTGTGATGGAACACAAAAGAAAACAGGGTTAATATAATAAACAGTTAATCCAGAAACTGGTCATAAACAAGCATGAGCAAACATTATCAACTGGTGGGGTGGGGTCCTGTTGTCAGGGGGAAACCAAATCAAACGGTGGGAGGGAAGAACATTGCAGTTAAATAAAATAAAAGAGTACTGATTAAACCCTGTGTAACTGAAATGATGGTTGTTTTTCCATCTTTCAATTGACAACACCTAAAGATGAGAAATCCCTTTCCTCATTGCTCACTTTGTTACAAGTCTCTAAAAGCCCTAAAACAGAAACATCTTCTCTCACACAAAATAATCCTTCCATTTCTGGGGAAAAAAACAACATATTTTGTAAATTGGCAAACAGGTGGCACTCCTTGAGATATTTTTGCTCTCAAAAACAAGATCAGTAATGCAATCAAAGAGCAGAGCTCAGCCAATAGGATCTCAGTGTCTGTGGCAACAGCAGCATCAGGGTGAGCAGCCATTGGTTCCATGTTTCACACAGGGAAAGCTGTAATTGGCTGATAGCGTGCAGAGGCTTCATTGCCTCCATGGCAACATTGCTTCCTTATTGCTTGGGTAAGGTGAAAAGGAGGGAAAGAGGGGAGGCGACTCTCACTCAGACATTACCTCTGCATTATTCATCCTTTGTCCCAGAGTGCTTGTAGAATGTGTGTTGATGCACCGACTGATGCATGTGTGTGTTTGTGTGTGTGTGTGTGTGTGCTTCTACACTCGTCTTGGTTTGACTGGTAATGATTGGTTGAGAGTTAAGGGGTGAATGGGGAGAAACCGGTGCAATCATTTCACTCAGAAGTGCAATGCATCCAGCAACACCAGGTCTATATATAAAACAGCTAAATGAGTTCAGAGAACATTCAGTGAGTGCTGACTTTAAAACACAGCTACTAGCCTTCAAGCTTAATTGCTGAAGGGACAGGGAGACCATTAAACATGAGCATCTCCCAGGATGCAACAGTGCACATCTGGGCAGTGGACCAGCCGGCAGCATACACTCTCAGCGCAGGATGCACCTCAGGGAGGACTGGATAAAGACAACAACACCACCAGCAACAACAGAAACCACGCTGGCTTGTTTGTTGTTGTTTTGACTGTTTGTTGTTTTTTCCCCAGCAGTTGAGGGAGGGGATAATAAGAGGGAGGGGGAGGGAGAAAGATGGGCAAGGGTGGGGTTAGCAGAGAGAAAAACATCACACAGAGATTAGGGTGTGTGTGTGTGTGTGTGTGTGGGGGGGGTGTTCACTAAGGACTCCTCCCCCATGTAAGTCTGAGCATGAGCGGGGGATAACGTCTGTTGACAGGCGTGCCGGCCAGCGAGCTGGATGGCTGTTCCTCCGGCGGTGCACACGGTGACGAGATGGCAACAGGCACTCAGCGTAGCACGTGCTCTCAGTTGCCATCGCAACCTGCCCTTGGATACAGCGTGCTGGTTGGCCGTTTCTAACTGTTGTTGTTCTGCGAGGCTGATGAAACCTCGTGGGTGAGGGAGGGCAAGCGGTACCGCATGTCTCCGCTTTCCCGCCAGCTAGAAAGTGTTGCTAGGCACATTAGAGGTCAGTTGGTAAACAAACTCTCAGCCCTTAACACTCCCTTGACCCCAAACACCTTAAACATGCTGTTTAACTCCTAAGTCCAATTAATACTTCTAATTAGACACACAGCAGGACGGGCCAATGATCCAAACTATCTTCTGGCACAAAGTCAAAGAAACTGATAATTGTCTTATTTGGTTTAACACTTTATGTAAAACTGACATTAAAATGCATTTTGAAAATAATATCTTGTTTTTTTGGAAACAGTTGAATACTTTATTATACAAAAAATAAAAACACAAGCTTTTACAACAATAAGTGCATATATTAAAAACGAATTGGTCATATTGAAATGTATGGAAATATTGGAAAAAAGGCAGAGTTTAGGATAATTCCTAAATTAAAGATTTGCAAAAGGGATGCAGCCCAAATTAAAATCTGTGTATTTTCCAATACAAATTCCTCAAATGTTGTTAACATGTGACCACAACATGGAGATGAAAAAGCATATATCCAGCAATCCTTAAGGGCTCTTTGCTTTTAGGAAGAGAGGAACAAAGAAAAAGTGTGTGTGGCCTGGAGCGGCCAGATCAATACGGCGTTGTGCTGACTCTGCAGACTGCCTGATGAAATCCTGCACAAATAAACATTCTGCTCACAGTGTACATTCACTCTGCACCACAACAGGCGGAGAACATTGTGCCACGAGCCGCAGGAGCTGAGGTGACAACATGATTGATTACATGTGCAGACGGTCTTTGTTTCACCGTCAGGAAAAAAGGAGTGGAAGCTGTGTGTGTGTGTGTGAGTATTTACATACAAGGTGGAGCTAGGACAGTATGTATTACTGAAGGAATGTGGTCCAGGGGACATTTAGTGGAGGAAGCAATAATGTAAAAGGTAGGGGCGAGGAGTCACGTTCAACACCTGGACATAGCTCCCACCGAGACACGTTGACGTTTATCCCTCGCATCAGTCCTGAAGGGTGGCGTCAATATCCTCCAGCCTCTGGGCCATGGACATGACCAGCATTTTCATCTGGGAATGACAGGAGACAAGGGGAAGCGTTAAAAGGTGCAGGGGTGGAAAGAGCAAGAAGGGGCAGAAACAATAGTGAAAGAGTGAGGATGGAGTGGGTGGGATGGGGAAGAAATGAAGGAGAAATTGGACAGGTGGGAAATGAAGGGAGCAGCAGGAAGCAGTGAGGAAGAAAGAAGGGTGGAGTGCAGATAATTGGAAAGGGGGTACAGGGAAGAAGAGCGACGAAACCCAAAGGGGAAGCAGTCAGGCGTGGGTGGGTATGAAGGGGGGAGAGAGAGGGGGAGAAGGGGAGACAGGTCAGTGAGTGTACAAGATGTAGCACCCAAACAAGTGTCTAGGAGTCAGACAGACAAGACAAGACAAGACAGGCAGGCAGACAGGCAGACAGACAGACAGGCAGAGAGACAGACAGACAGGCAGGCAGACAGACACAGACAGAGAGACACACAGACAGGCAGGCAGGCAGACAGACACAGACAGAGAGACACACAGACAGGCAGGCAGACAGACAGAGAGAGAGACAGACAGGCAGGCAGACAGACACAGACAGAGAGACACACAGACAGGCAGGCAGATAGGCAGGCAGACAGAGAGACACACAGACAGGCAGGCAGACAGACAGAGAGAGAGACAGACAAACACAGACAGGCAGGCAGACAGACAGAGAGACAGACAGACAGAATACATTAACGATGGCGGCACCTTTATCCGATACATTAGTAATAACTGAGAGCAAGGAGAGTCAGACTGGGTATCCTTTAACATTTTGATAATAGTCACGAAACCACAGTCACATCTACTGATTTCAAAAGAACCTTACTTTAAGAAATGTATAAATGTTTTCTATTAGCAAAAGAAATAGGGCAGCAACTGTGATTTTCTTATAACTCTATCAAACGTCTGCAAACCGTTTTGGAAGTTAAATTGCTTGTTGAGAAAACTATTTATGTACCAACAACACAAACAAACTAAAAGGTATTTCAACTCTTGTTTATATTATAATATTTATATTAACTAGAAACGGTGACATGTGTACTCAGAGTAATAGTAGCATTTCCAAAACAGTTGTTGAATATTTCTTTGTTGAGAAAGTAATGGATTATTAATCATTTAATCTCTTGTATTGTATATAAATGTCACAGGAGTATTATCGGTGCTTTCTCAAATTAAAGAATCTAAAATGTGTAAAACGCTTATTGCTTTCTGACTGATTGCTTTGATACTTGTTGCCACCGAAGCATTTCAGTAGGCTAAAAAAAATATAGAATTTTATCCAATGACAATGCTGTTACATTCTTTTTTAATTTTGGTGAGTAAATGGAGTGCTGGCAGAACAGTTTGGGGCAGAAACTAATATTTAAAGGGCCCATGTCATGCTTTTCCGGTTATTACCCGTCCCCTTGTGTGTTATGAAGGTTTTTATGCATGTGAACGGTCTGCAGAGTCAAAAACCCTCAAAGTACACCCTGTAGCGAGTAAAACTCTAACACAGAAAAGACCTCCCCAAAACGCCTCGTTGGAGATTTCTCATTTACTTCCTGGGTATCGCTACGTAGGGATACCCAGTAGCCACGCCCAGAGCTATGGCCGCACCCTCTGCCAGCCTTTCACGAAACAAAGCTTCCCAAACCTTTCAGCGCTTCATATGCCAGATATGTACAGCGTAGGGCACTGAAGAACGATGCTGTTCCTACTTTGTTTGGACCAGCGGGAGATTCGGGTACACAACCTGTAAGTATTCATTGTTGTTTGTGTATTTATGATGTTTAAAACAAACAAGGTATCTACCACGACTGTTTAAATGGGTAAACGTTTTTCGGGCTGCTAAGTTGGGATCGCAGACCCATTCTCACAGCGTTATAAACCTTTTTCTTACTCAATATCAAGCCACACTTATTGTTTTTACTTCGGCTGTGAGTGTTTGTGTGTGCTCAGGATGAGTTTAGCTTGTTCTCGCTGTATCTGTATCGCCGCACACGGAAGCCTGTCTCGCTGCTCCTCTGCTCCTCGCGTGCAGCTGCGAGCAGCAACGCGCCTCTCACGTCGCGTGACCAATCAGAGCACACTGGGCTCACAGGGAGGGGGGGGGCAGGAACTCCAACAAGCCGTTTAGGACAGAGAGTGAATACCTGGTGAATACACATACTTTACAGAGATGCTGTATGAGAAACCAATGTGAGTTTGGAAAATTGCACAATATAAATCTATTCTAGTATACCTCAACAATGGAATTATGATCAGTAGAAATGGCCATGACATGGGACCTTTAATGTTGAGGGAAGAAATTAAAGTAGAGCTCGTCAGTGAGAAAGCCATAATGAGTTCCCGCTGACAGACATGTGGTGAAAGAAAGCCCTGATTTTAATTCATGACCTTCTCAAAGGGCCTTCATAATCCTGTTACAATGTGCCAATGGACAATGATGGCTATAACAACACCTGAAATGTATACAATCAGCATAGACCCATAGTCAGGTTAATCTCCATCCTAATCAGAGGTAGATTTAAGCGTTAACTTACATATTAACCAAATGGAAAAAACAGGCGCGCCTGAGAACTTCATCACATAACACAACCCTTGCTTGAGTGACACAATGAATATTATAACATCAGTCACCTGATAGTACCAACTGTAAGTAATTAAAAATCAGCTGCCAAGTGAAAAAAAAATACCATGCATACATCCGGCTATACCAACAAAGACACTTCATGATCATAACATGTTTTTCCTCTCTCAAAGATTCCTCAGCATGCTCCCCATCACAGCTTTTGTCCTTTGTGCAACAGCGCCGCTGCACACTACCACCACCTACTGGCCAATATGTGCATTGTGGATATATTTAAACAAAGGGTGATTAAGAAGAACTTTGGGAACCACTACACCTGTCCACTGAAACATGTGCCTTCTAATAAAAATAAAAATAATACTTATACTAATAGGTCATAAGGAATTGAAGTTTGAAATTAACCGAAAATTATAAAAATACATCGATATGGGTTTAAAGACTCAATTTACTGAAAATATACTTTTTGTTTTAATCTATTCTAAAATGGAGTGTAAAATGAGTCACTTTGCAGGGGGTGACACGGTGAGATGAGGTAATGTCTGATTCAAGCGTCTGCCCGTCAGAGGACAGAGGGTTTCCAAGAACAGAGCTGATGTCACCACTACAACAACGTGAGCATTAATAATCAATGAGAGGGCAGCGCCAATGCAATGTGAGAGCACTGTCAACACAGAGAACAGTGACTCATGTGATGCAGAGATCTGATGTTTCCCATCACTTTTACACCACAATAACATTTTGAAAAAGATGAATCTGTACCTGTTTTGGAGGAAAAATACATTGTTACACATCATAGTAGGATTAAGAGCAGACGCATACATCAGTGGGTTTAACATTTTCATCAGAGAGCGATGTAATATCAGGAACAACAGACAAAGAAAAGCAGCAGAAATCCTTTACCTCTGTTAGCTGCTGTTCAACAACGCCTCTGTACTCCAGTGTGACTGGCTGCTCTTTGGGGCCCTCTGCTGCCAACATCTGGCTGGCAGAGCCCAGCACGTAGCTGGAAAAGATTCACAGTGTAAACTTAGGGAGCTAAAAGTGTTAGGGTGCTAAATGTGCAGTTTGTAAGTGTAAAGATTGTCACATTCAGTTTTGAGGAAGCCATATTTTGAGGTGTAGTATTGAACTTCTGGTTTTAAAAAAGACTGTTTACATATTTGATGTAGTCTTGCAAAGATTAATGGATTATTGTCAACTATTCAATTAAAGGTGGGGTAGAAACCGGCTCGAGATACACTTTTTGTTATATTACATGGAATGCTCTTAACATCCCGATAGCAATGAATATCTTAAGTGCTTTGACAAAAAATCCATAAAAAAATGTCATCTGTGGAAGCCGTAATACTGTAAAAAGTACGACCAATCATTTTAGCCGGCCCGGCTAAAATAACTGGATGGCCTACCTGCCTGTCAGCCTTCCATCTGTGCACAAACTTATCTCGTGCCCTCATTGGTCATGTGCGCGTTCGTGTGTGTTGGAGGCGGGGCTCTCTAAGGAAGTGGCAGATTTTTTCCGGCTGTGTATTTTCAAATTCTAACGCACTCGAGCTGGTTTCTCCAAAATTACCTACCCCACCTTTAAATGCCAACTATTTTGATAATTTATAAATTGGTTTAATACCTTTTTAGGAGTAACAATTATTTGATTCCCGCTTCTTAAACAAGAATATTTTTCTAGATTATTTACTCTCTGTATGAAAGTAAAACTGAAAAGCTTTTAGTTGTGGACAAAATATGAAATCATCTTGAGTTTGGGAAATCCTGATTGACAGGTTTTTACCATTTTCTAACATTTTATAGACCAAAAAATCCCAATAATTGATAAAAAAAGAATTGATAGTTGCAGCCATGATCTCATTTGATTTGGTTTAAGTGTTGCTTTTCCTTCCTTATGCCTTCCAGTTGTTGATGTGTATTCCAGCAAACCCAACCAACTTACTGCATAGCTGCTATATTTATTTGTAAAATAACTGCACAGATATAAAACGTGTTTCACAGTCACCATTCATGTTTCACCATAACACTTTCTTCTGGAAAATTGATCAAAACTCACATTGAACAAATGTAAAACTGATGTATGCATATTTAAACACTCCTACTAATGACACAAGCCCTAAACATACCTGTCAATCTTTGCAACGTTGAAAAAGAATGCTAATCGCTTATGGTCCAGTTTCTTAGGCGTTGATGAGTAAACCATGCCGAGCACAAATTCGCAGCCTCGACAGAATAGATCTACGACGAGACTGAAGAGGAGATAAAAAAAGACAGTGGGACAGATTTAATCCAACAAGTAGTCAGGTTGCATTTAAAAACAACACATTTCCTTAAAGGTTCCCTATTAAACGTTTTTTCATCAATATATAATAGGTCTCAGATATATACAAAACATGTCTCTGAAGTGTTTGGCTCCAAATACCAAACAGATCATTGCAGCATCCCATAATCCCCTCTGTTTCAGCCCTGTTTCTAAAGTGCTGATTCTCTGTCTGTTACTTTAGATGAAAATAAGGAGCCCCTTCCCACGCCCCTCTGAGAGATATTTGGTTCAAAAGAACAGGTGCTCTAGGAGGAGATTCAGGGGATAAGGTGGGGTGGGGGGGGTGGCTAATGGTTACACAAGCCAAGTGGCCAAAATCTGATCAGCTCATTTTCAGACAGGTTTTTATATAAATGGATCAGGACAAAAAGAGAGAGAAAAAGGTATGTTTGAACTGCTAACACTATATGATTATGGGTCACGAAGTATTTTGGTTGTGGGAAGGTAACATTGACGAGTTATTTTGAATCATCCTCCAAAAACAAGTCTCCCTTATTTTTTTCTGGACGAGGATAGACAAAGCTTTTTAAATTTAAATTTAAATGTTGTATTTACTTTATTCCTTCTTACCAGAGAGACTTTTTGCTCACTTCATGCAGGCGAGTGTCTTCTCCAACCACGACGTTGTCAGTGACCCCTAGGACCAAAACATCACAAACGTATATGTTGTTTGGGCAGTTTGAAAAGCCTTTCACCCGAATATTTAGTTGGTTAACTGTAACGTTATAATGTGAACCAACACAAAAAGGAATAAAAATAAGCAGGCTAACCCCATACTCACGCTTCAATCTTATCTGGTTTTGTCCGTCTTCTTCAGACCCATCCCATGACATTGAATCCCCGACAGGCAGCTTGCACTTCCCGCAGATGAAGACCACAGGTCCGTCGTCTTCCTCCTCTGAATGGCCAAACAACTTTTCCTCGACGGCAGTGGAGTCTATACTGGACTCAAACATTGTATTTATAAATGTCTGACGGTGTTTATACGAATTCATTTTTGACGCCATGTCTACTATTTTCTCAAAATGAAGCTGTTTTGAATTTACGCGGTTACGTGGTTGAAAAAACGTGAGCGACGAAGATACCTTTATCGCGAGATGATAACTTGTGTGTACTTCCGCTTTCGTCTGATAGTGAAGAACCAACCTTGACGAATTGTGCTTTTGGAAAGCTAACAATCTGAAAGTGTGCCCAGTGTTTCCTGGTGTTGTCCGTACTGGCTAATAAAAAATATGTATCCAAATTGTTTTGATATATTTGTACGAAGATATTTGTCAGTGTGATAATCCCTACATGGAGCTTTTCCATTTCAGGAGAACCGACGTTAACCATCTTGATGTGCTCTTTATCTTTGGGAAAGGTGAACCGGAAACACTTTGCCAAGAGCGAAAACGTGCTTGTTTTGTATTAACCCATTTCGTCATATTTTTGCTTTTATTTATTTAACTTGTCAATCTTTAATATTCCTTTAAAACGTGTGAATCATTATTGTCACCAAAAGTAGCTAGGACATTTGATCAAATTCTCATTGGCTGGTGAACCGGAAGTTATGGGAATATGGTTGGACGAGAGAGTCACATGGAGTACTCACATTGATAAAGTAGTAGATAAATGTAAAAGGGTTTTAAATGTTATGAGGTGCTTGGCAGGCACTAAGTGGGGGGCTGATAAAGCTGCTTTGAGGAACGTATACACAGCATTAATTAGATCAGCCATAGAATACGGACTAATAGCCAGTGGCGGCCGGTGGTCTTTTTTTTTGGTGGGGCTCTTGACGTACCGCAAGTGACCTACCCGGGGGGTTTCCCCCCGAATTTTTTTTTCGAGAAATGACCCCTTAAATGATGACTTCTGGTGATGTTAGAGGGGGGGGGAAGGAGAAATCGAGGCTTAAAAATATGAGAAGACTGATCAATACCTCCATAATCTTCAGTGTGGAAAATATTATTTATCAACCTGAACATCTACTACTTTACCAGGAATTTGTGTTCTCAGAACTGGTCTGTTTTTTTCTTTCTTAAAACTGTTCATGTTTTATGAACCAACACCTTCACCAAGTAGCTTTACAGTGAACTGCATGTGAGATATAAAATTAATAGCATCTTTTCAGTAGCATTAATTATAAATATTTAAGTGGTTCAATACAAGTCACTACAGCATTTCAAACTGAACTGTGAATAAATGCAATTTAAAAAAAATAACCACAGCACAAAATGTCATAAATTGTGTTTTTTCTTTGTTTCTCTGAGGATTATTTACAAACAGGCTTATTTACATATATCAATAACTCAGAAATGAAAAAGCTACATCGTCTAACACGAACAACCAGTTAGCATAATGATAATATATGTGTTATGTACAATGTATCTGGCAAGGCTAGAGCAAGAAAGAACATAAAGTTTGCAAAAGGTTTAAATAACTTCAAGTATCTGTCTTCAGATTACGTGGAGGTTTTAGTCCGATGGGAAGCAGATTTTAAGCGACACCGAAGATAAACCAAAAATGTGGTGGAGCTGCAAACCGTGTAGTGTTGCTGGGACAGAACAGGAGCTATAACCGTTGGAAAATACATCACAGACAATGCAACAAACGTGGAGACAGAACAATCACTTCTGTGATAAATGCCCACTTATTAATAAACTTCTAACAACCATGGGAAACCTCCTCTCTACATATAAAGTGATATCCAAGCATGGGAAACAAAAGACAGCATTTACCTGTTTGCATCCAGCTAGCCAAGCCTTTCTTGTGTACCAGCTACTTGTGAAGCCTCGTGTATAAATGTTGTCTTTTTCACGAGATTGCTGCGATATATTCAAATCGGGTTGGTCCGGTGCAAGGTCTTTAAGCAACAATTTATCTGCCAAACTTCTCCTTTCGAAAGGATTGGAGATTAGCTCTTGAACAGAATTAGGCGCGGACCGAGGTCCGGAGACTCCACCTGCACACGAAGCCATCCTCATCAACTACTGCGTCAACCGGATACGAGTCACTGTCCAAACTACTCACAGACTGCACTGGGCGCTGACATTGGCGCCCGGTGACCGTCATCTTTGACGACGCTAATTGGCTGAAATTATATTTTCGCGGCATAGTTTACACGTTACAGATAGCAACAGTCAGCTGCTGGTGGCTGCTGCTGCACTGGTTGAAGGCTCCTCTCTTAGCGCCCAGACGAGAGAAGGTGCATGGGCAAGGCCAGGCAGGAAACATGTGACTTATCAGTAACTTTAGACATCGTAACACAATTTTAAACGAGATTTTATTGTAGATTATACATTTTACTGATACCAATTATATAATATTTACCTTGTTCATTAAAAATAAAAATAAAAACATATATATTTTTTTAAACATATTTTTTTTTTTTATTTTAATTTTAATTATTATTTATTTTTATCAATATGGGAAGAGGTGGGGCGGCGCCCCTAGCGCCCCTATGGACCGGCCGCCACTGCTAATAGCGTATGGTTCAGCTGCATACTCTTCTCTTCATTAAGCCGCGTTCACACCGGAGTACTTTCACCGTACTTTTCGCGTTTTAGTTCCGTGAGTACCCATGTCGCGTTCACACCAAAAATCGTACTTAATCTCGGGTACTTTTACCCCCATTTTTAGAGCCAGCTCAGAGAGCGTACTTTTCTGTGGGTGAAAAGTCCTCCAAAAGTGCCCCAGTGCTGATTGGCTGGGCGAATTGCAAACCACGCCCGTACAACTCTGAAAATGTTGTGTGGAGACGCCATTGTTTTTCCTCGCTACAAAAACACAACGCTCCGTGCGTTGTGTTTGTTTTTGAAAGCAGTTATGGCAAGCATCAAGAAATGATGAGGAGGTGTCGGCGCTTCTGGAGATCTACGCAGAGGACGCGACCCAGGGAATGCACTGAAGCCAGTTCAGTAGCTTTCACTCGACCTGGGAATGTGCACAGCCCCACGGCACACACCGGCTAAAAATAAAGAAACTCGGGCAGGACTACAAACGGCGGATTCAGTGGCCAACGATGACGACCACGACGAAGGTAAAATCAACTACATGCACTGGGGTTTTAATCTGCACAATAATGGTCTCAGATGTACTTTTATTTGCTCAGTAGATCAAGCTAGCCATGCTAGCCATAATAGGCTAACACCGGCCCCGAGCACACAGTACACACACACTGTAACTTTGTCTTGAAAGAACGTTACGCATCGAACTGATGTTCACAATCATGTTTATTTCATAATATTCATCATATTTTATGTTTAACTTGCCTCAACAACATTAAACAAAGTTCAAGCATACATGAAGCACTCTTCAAAAAGCAACAATCCTCCGTGTTTGAACCTCTTAAATCGCTGCATAGCCGATTTATTTGGACTGGATTATCCCAGAGAGGCCAAACATTCTTTATAACACAGTTTCAGATTTGTGAAACCTTAATTCTATTTGTGAAAATAAAAAAAAGGGAGATTTCAGTGCTTTTTTTACATGTAGACCACATTAGACCAGGTCCTGATCTAAAACCACTATACCTAGACTCATCAAATCTGGACTGGATTATCCCAGAGAGTCAAAAGATTCTTTATAACACAGTTTCAGATTTGTGAAACCTTAATTCTATTTGTGAAAATACAAAAAACACATTCCTAGTATGTTGTAAAACTACATGGCGACTAAACTTGTATATTGTATATTGCTTATTTTCCCCTCTTAGGAAAGCGGACACGGGATGCGAATTTCTTTGACACCGCCCAGGCGTTGGAGGACCGGCGTGCCGTGGTGAATGAGTCGCTGCGTGGAGATCAGATGGTGCTGTTCACCAAGGCCCAGGAAACGGAGGACAAGATGCTCACCTCGATGGAGCGCCAGGCAGCAGATGGAGCGCCAGCAGCACCAGGATGAAGTGTGGGCGCTGCGCCATGAGGAAGCGTCGGCGCAGCGGCAGGATGAGCGACAAACTGCATTTAATAACAGTTTATTTGGTATAGTTTTTGTAAATACTGACACACGACACACAACGTTGCACTAAGGTGTGCATGCTGCTGGGAATATCCCTACACCTGGGACAGTTTATTTTATATTGTTATTACTGTTATGACTTTATTTTATATATAATGTTTACTGACATGTACAACTGACACTTTATTTACATTTAAAATTGTTCTATTTAATGTTATGTCTTGAGAGTGCAATAAAGAAAACCGACATGGCGATTAAGCTTATTTCTCCTGACACTTTATCTTTTGTGACCTGTGTAGCATCCTATACATCACATGTAAGTGATTATTCTGATACCATCATGTTTCATCGGTTATAAACTGGCAAAGCTTTATTTGTCATTTATTTATCATCAATGTTGCAACCTTGTGGGGGAATGGCAGGGGCACATACACAAATATGACAATTTATATAATTTTAAATATTATTTGACCTAAACTTTTAATTCCCCCCCCATTTCACACAACACAACATGGAGTCCACTATGGGCCAAAACTAACATGTATGTTTGCATAGTGTTTATGGCAGACGGATGCAGTGGGTCTCAGGAAGATATATAATAAAGGTGGGTTTGCTGCTGAGACTCCCTACACCTGGGAGTTTATTTTATATTGTTATTACTGTTATTATATAGTACAACTGACACTTTATTTTATATTGACAATGTTTACTGACATGTACAACTGACACTTTAGTTACATTTAAAATATTTCTATTTAATGTTATGTCTTGAGAGTGCAATAAAGAAAACCGACATGGCGATTAAACAGATCCTGTATCAGTTTTTCTTCTTCTCTTGTTTTGTAGCGGGTTGCAAACAACTTTAAGGTGCTTACCGCCACCTACTGTACTTGTAATCTTCCCTCAGGGAAAAGTACTCCGGTGTGAACGCGATCTGTACTAAGTACCCTGGGGTTAAAAGCGCCAGGGCTCTTAGTGCCGGAACTAAGTACAGGAAAGTACTTGGTGTGAACGCGGCAGAGTCCAGGCACAAGCACTAAGGATATGCTGTGGGGCAGTCAGATCTACACCAGTGTCGGCACTTCAGGTAGAGGTCGGAGAAATACCAATTTTTTTGAGGAGAAAACAGTTCATTGTTAATTACTGGGCAAATCTACAGGGCCATAAAGATACTCACCCTACTAAACAAACTGTAAAAACAAGTTGGGAAAGTAACAAAATGAAAAAAGAAAGTTTTTGTGTTTGTGTTTCGGAATTATGTAAGGAATTCAAAGTTAAAGAATGGAATA